TAAATCATTAAATTCTATTTCGTCTGTCTCAGAATCCTGTTGAGACATTTGTTGTAATTCTAATATTTGAATTCTTCCTTTCAATTGTACTATTTCAGTTTTTATTTCTTTAATCTCTTTTTTGAGATCAGAGATTGTAGGTTCTTTTTGAGAAGTATGTTGATCACTTACCCTTTTGATAATAGCAGAGAAATTATATTCATCTGGATTTTTAAGGATAGATAATGATTTTGATTTATTTTTTTTAATATTGATAAATTGGGTAATGATAGCTCTTTTCTCATCAGGATCAGTTATTTTATCTATAATGTCCAGAATAAAATTATGTTCCTGAGTGAGTGTATGAATATTATGTTGAGGTAATGGACAACTACAGTCCTCTGATGATTCTGTATTGGTTTCAGTGGAAGAACTATCTGTTTCTATAAAATCAAGATCATTACTATCTATGTCTTGTGTATAAGATTCACTAGAAGTGGAAGAGGAAGAATCATATGAAATTATATTTTTTAATTTTGCTTTGGTTATCTCATCTAAATTTAATGAGTCTATTGTCTTTTTTAATTTACATTGGTGTTTATAATGTCCTATTTTACCACACTTATAACATACTGGGAGTTTTCTCTTTTTCTTTGTATTTGGGGAAAATTTTTAACACCTTATTTAATGGTTTATAATTTATAACCAGTCTAGGAACTCCTCTTTCTTTTTCAGCATTTTTATTAACATAAAAAGCTGCACAACTCCAAGGTGAAGAACTTGGTCGTATGAGCTTTCTGTGTAAGAGTTCTGCTATTTCTTTTCGACACATTTCCAATAAAACAGTATTCATTATATATATATATGTGTGTGTGTGTGTGTGTGTACGCGAGTAACGATCCTATGAGACCCTCCTACACCCATGTGTGTAGGATCTCAAAGGATCACCATTAAATTTGGTATAGATCTTTAGAAAACTCAAATCCCACATCCATGTGATAACTTTTCTAGAGATCGATGCCATATTTAATGATCATTTGGGGTCCTAGCTACATGAGTGTGGGAGGGTCTCTAGATACATGAGTGTGGGAGGGTCTCATAGGATCATTACTATATATATATATATATATATATATATAG